GTGAACAGAAGGCTAACAAAACCCAGAGAGTGTCAGTCCTACCGCCCGTTGCAAGACAGAATCAACATTATTCAAGGAATTACCGTCAAAACTTTCCACAGAATTACCCTCCAAACTTTCCGCAGAACCGCGTTCGTGCATATCACAGCGAACAGCACGGAGACAACCAGAATTACGAAGGGACCGACTACAACAAGTACTCTTATGGCAAAACGGAGTCCCCTAGCTACCAAGAAGACCCAGAATACTACAAGGATGATCAGTATCTTAATCAACAAGGCCAAGAGCATGAAGCTAAGGCAGCCAATGCACATTTCACACGCTCAGTGCAATACCATGCATGCGAACAGGAATTTCCCTCCAACAACACCTTGCATGCCCATGTCCCTGACTGCAATGGCCTTGGTGCCTTCCATATCAACATAGGCGATCTTCCCATCATTAAAGCTACTCCTATCCGCAAATCAGAAAAGCATGACGGCATGGGATTTCGCTCTTGGCGTTATGCAACCATCAAAGCATATCTGCATAAGGATAAACAGATGACGACGATCTGTTTAGACTCAGGTTGCACAATGACGATTGTCAACAAAGATTTTCTTTTGCAACACTTACCTAATATCAAAATTCAACAATGCCCAGTCCCTATCCCAGTTCGCGGAATAGCAAATAGTTTTACTAGCACTCAATTTATCTCTTTCTCATTGTTTCTCCCTACTAAACGAGGCGCGAGGAGATGCATAGTTGAATTACCAATTAAAGCTCATCTCACCAAAGGTTTAAAAGCAAATCTGCTTGTCGGCGCTGACACACTTGGAAAGCATAGATTTACTATCAATTTTGCACAACGTAGAGCAATGATTGCGTCCTATAAGAATGCTGAGCTCATGCTAACAATATCTCCAAAACCACATCACATGGATCCACGACCTGTTTACACCCAGCAAAAGGTTGTGATACCGCCTCATTCAACGGCTAAGATAGCAGTCAAACGAGCACAGGGCCTCCTGAATGATCATGACTACATCTTTAAGGCTTCCCAACACAGGCATGTGGCTCTTTTCTCGCATATCCAAGATGCAAATTTCGGCCATGTGGTCGCAGTAAACCAAACAGATCAACCAGTCACACTCCAACGCCACGAACGGCTAGGCACTTTGTCGGAATTCGAAGCAACAAATGTTTATCATGTCGTTACCCCGACTGCACAGGATTTAGCTGTTATACCACCTGAGGAAGCGACAAAAGCTTTACAAGTAACAGCTAATTCAAGTGACCCAAACATTACCAAGCTTGACAATGGCATTCAGATTTACGGTCCACCGAAGGCAGCAAGCGAGCTAGCAGATATATTAATGGCTTATCCGATGGTCTGGACAAACACCAAGATGATCAATGTCCCTGAAGAAAGGTGGATACAGATCTACCTCAAGGATGGCTAGGAAAATCAAATCAAAAAATCAGCCAAGGTTTACAACGTCGGCCCGCGACATCGTCAGGTTATTGACGAAACATTTGATAGCCTGCACGCCTTAGGAAGGATGGGCTTCTCAACAAACATCACACCATCAGGGGCCCCAGTATACGTCCTAGACCCCGATATTCAACCTCAGCCCATGCCCGAACTGCCGAAATTTGAGAGTTCCCCTTTCCCCCCTTCCCCAGCATTCGTCGTTGACCGTACAGTCCAAGGCAAGACAAAAAGCAGAGCAGTAATTGATTTTCAAGGTATCAATGCCGCTATCATTCCGGACATCTATCCTGTGCCATCACAGGCGGAAATCATAGCAGAATGCGCAGGCTGTGTGTATATCTCAATCATGGATGCAACAGCTATGTTTTACCAATGGCCGTTACACCCAGACTCACAATGGTTTACCGGCGTGATTACGCATCAAGGACAGGAATACTTTCATGTATGCCCAATGGGATTCATAAACAGTGTTCCTCATGTACAACGGCAGGTTGATTTAATATTCAAAACCATGAAGCATTTCTTGCGCATCTACATTGATGATTTTATCTTGCGCAGCAAAACCTTCAACAACCACAAACAACACTTGTCGGAATTTCTGTGCAAATGTGCAGAAATGAGAATTACCTTATCTCCTCAGAAGACATTCATTGCATTCCCATCAGTACAGCTGCTGGGCCAAAACATGTCATCATTAGGCATGACTGCTGCAGATGAAAAACTGAAGGCCATATCAGAATTGAAGTTCCCTGTTACTTTGTCGGACCTCGACACTTACATTGGCTTAACAGGATGGTTACGGTCATACATTCCCTTCTACTCAGCTATCATCCAACCTTTGCAGGACAGGAAAACTTGGCTGCTAAATAGAGGACCATCAAAAGGAAAGGCCAGGAGGTTTTATACTGAACGAACCCCACTCAATGATGTTACTGATAAGGAGCGAGAATCCTTTAAGAACATCCAAGACCACCTGAAAGACAGGATGATGCTCACGCACCACAACCCTAATTTGCCATTATATGCCGACATTGATTCGTCTAAACGCCGAGGACATGGAGCCATGGTTTTCCATGTTCAACATGACATCCACACTGACTTGTTATTCGAGGCCGCGTGGGATCGCTCCAAAGGGCCATCATCAGAAGCTATATTACCAATCATGTTCCTCAGTCATGCCCTGACTACATCTGAGAAAAACTACTGGCCCACTAAGCTGGAAGTTTCCGGTCTCGTGTGGTTGCTACGCAAGATCCGATACATAGTTAAGTCTAGCAAAGCTGGCTTCTACGTGTACACGGATCACGCGGCCACTGTGGACATTGTTAAACAGACTAGTCTATCAACTTCCTCAACAGACAAGCTAAACTTACGACTAGTACAAGCTTCGCAATACTGCCAACTATTTCCAAACATGACATTGTTTCACAAGCCGGGCAAGAAACACATTGTCCCAGATGCACTATCTCGATTACCTTCCTTTGCTAAGGACGATCCTGACCCAACTACGCTTGATACAGATCCTTTGGACATCTTGTTTGGCCATGCTTTCCATGGCAAGGAACAACCAAAGACGGTCATCGGTTTGGCACTATCAGAGGAATTCAAACAGAACATCATTAACAGGTATCCAAAAGACCAAAGATGGTCTCACGTATTGCAAATGCTCCAGAAAAATGCAACCTCTCAAATACCAGTTGTCCTGCCGTACGAGATCCATGATGGTCTGTTATACACAAATGATGGTCATCTGTGCATGCCACATGTCTTGCTTCGCGAAACGCTACAAACAGCTCATGACAGTAACGGTCACCCTGGTGTCAATAGGACGCTGGAATTACTTCACGGGCTAGTGTTTAACCGGATGAAGCACTGGGTTAAGGAGTATATCCACTGCTGCCCAGAATGCCAGAAGAAACAGACCCGAAGGCATCAACCTTACGGAGTTTTGCAGCCAATTCTAACTCCAGCAATTCCTTTCCATACAATTACAATCAATATTATCGTTGGCTTACCGGACACTGGAACTTTCAATTCAGTAATATCAATCACCAATAAGTTCACAAAGAGGATGACGGCTCTGCCAGGACATACAACATGGACCGCTCAACAATGGGCAGTTGCTTTACTGTCGGAACTTGACAAAGGAGACTGGGGAATCCCTAAGATCATTATCTCAGACAGGGATCCAAAGTTCGTGTCAGAAGTCTGGCAGAAATTCCTTAAAACGCTGCAGGTTAAACAAAGGTACTCTACAGCTTACCATGCACAAACTGATGGGCAGAGCGAACAGACAAATCAAACAATCAAAATCTATCTCCGCTATGCAATCGCATCACTTGGTAGAATTACAGATTAGCCTACAGTCTTAGCTGCTATGCAACGAACCTTCAATTCCACAAAGAATGCGTCAACCAAGGCTACTCTGCATAAGCTTATGTACGGTTTTCGCCTCCCTACAACGCTGAACGTTGGATTTCAAGACCCTGCCTCAGCGGACAGGTCATTTACATGCCGTGTAACGGCGGCGGAGGCTCTGCGTTTAGCAGCACTCACAATGAAAGAACGATACAATAAAAGTCATACGCCGCTTGCCTTCAACAAAGGCGACAAGGTGCTATTAAAGCTTCATACTGGCTATGTTACGCAGTCAACCCTGGGTCAAAAGTTAGGAAATCAATACACTGGCCCCTTCGAAGTGTTAGACCGCGTAGGTCCGCTGGCATATAAATTAAATTTCCCAAGCGACTGGAGGTTACATCCCGTTGTCTCCATCGCGCACCTTGAGAAATACAATGACGACGACCCATTCAACCGCAAACCAGAGGAGCCAGGCCCTGTCAATGTCAAAGGAGATACCGACAAATACCAATCTTATAAGATCAAGAAGATTATTGCTAAACGCGAACTACCTGCCAAAGGGAAAGGCAAAAAGAAAACAAAGACAACGCAATACCTCGTGAAATGGAAGGGTTATGGTGACAAATGGAATCAATGGTTGCCTGCGGATCAACTAAGCGATGCCCAAGAACTCATCAAAGAATTCAAGGCAAAAGCATAACAATACAGCCTTCTCTTTATTTGTCGTCTTAGTTACTATATTTAGTTGACTTTGATTGTATGGCATTGCGGCTGTATTGTTTCTATTAATGATTCTTTATGTGTTACATTCACTGCTCATCCTTTCACACTATTCACTGATACACCATTCACTACGCCATGACTGCTACGCAAGCAATATTTATCTTCGACATCCCCTAACACTTTTATCTCTTCTCCCATCCCTCAATGTCTACACGGTTCACCAGATCCCCTTCATGACCAGATATCCTTCATCATCGCCGGACGAAATCATCGAGTCGTCAAGAACCTTTATTCCCCAGCGAATTTTCCTATTTTCCAACAACCGTTTCGTTTCACCTGAGCGCATAAGTCACTTGTTTCCCTTTTCAACGACTTGCAGAAGGAAGTCAAAACAGAGTATGCAGCAGAGACACAAAGGCTTGCAATCCAAAACTTTCTTAGCATGAGAACACAACGCAAAGGAGTCACCGAGAATACCCCCAGCAAGAAAAACAAGAAGAACAACACCATGGGGAATACTCCTACTTCAACAGACAAAGACAACAGCGCAACTGCAGCAGCTACTACAAAGCTAAACCAGCTCAAAAAAGCACAATCTCTTGCCCAAGACATTGCCTACAGTCCTTTTACGTTGATTTCGACAGTCTATACCGATGCGATCAAAGTTGACTTTACCACAATCTCGGTCAACAATGTACCTCCTGTCGTGCCGAAGTTCAAGATGCCTGATACGCAGATGCCTGTTGTTAGGTGGATTACTGATCAGCCCCATTCCTTTTCCACCCAACGGAACTGCTTTATCCGTCTGGCATATATGCCGGCTTTTCTCAAATACAAGATGAGCAAACCATTTTACAAATTCTGTGACTCAGCGGGTCAGACACTGCAAGCTACAGACTGTTATGTCATGGCCGACTGGCGGGATGAAATCTTCAGACTGAAAGCCGCGAAAGAACACTTTCTTAGCCTCAAGACCTTGTTTACCAATGCCGTCCAGACCTACGCCATGAAGATGGTACAGTACCGCTGTGATCGGAGGAACTGGGAACTCAACATTCTCCGAGACGCAGCCAATGACACCAAGGAAGACAAGGCAACAATCAAGGCAGCCAAACAATGGGTTGAACAGGAGAACCACGCCGACGACAATGGTGACTACAAGATTTTCGATGTAGGTGACTTTCAAGCCCCAGACGACAGAGATGTCTACCCACAACAATGGATGCAGAGAGACACTACACTCCCGGCATGGGTTGCTCAGCAAGAGAAGAAATATGACGCCACTATTGACAAAATCAATGAAATCATTGCCGAGAAGGTTAAACCACCCACCACTGGACAAAAGAGGACGCTCAACTTCGTGGAATCAGACGATGAGGAAGACACACATCAATGGGATCTGCCTGACGATCTTACATTGTATGGCGATTGGGTGGCATTTCGCCATGCAAGCTGGGCTAAGGACAAGCCTAAGCGTACTGACAATATTCTCTCCCTCTACAACATCCCGTCAAACATCCCTTCTGATCCGACCCAATGGCCCCAACAATTGCTTTCCCTATCGCGAGACAAAGTCCTTAAGAACGATGAAGACTTCAGCAAGTATCCCTGGGGCAGACCAGCATACGCTTTGCAAGCCACTTTGGCTAAAGCTCCTGGATATACAAAGGACTCACTATTTACGATAGACGCCAGTAATGCACTCAGACGTCTTGAGGGCTGGTTTTTCAATCTCAGCAAACCAGCAGCAAATGGACTTGACCTCACCACAGTTGAGCAGTGGCCAGTGACAACAAAGATCCGTGATCCGATTGTCAACATCCTGAAGAACCTTAACGCAGACGAGACGACACACCCCGCGTTCTTCAAGAAATAGAGATTGGTCTACAATGATGTCGTCTCTGTTTTCTGTTACGCAACAACCCACCCTGTGTTTTTCAACACCCTGATTTACGAGCACACTTGCTTTACAATTAGATGATTGACACGCTTTTTCCTTTACTGCCAACGTCATTTTCTTTTTCTCTTTTTTCTTTTGTATTACAGGGATACTGTTGTATGCCAACAGTTCCATGATCATGTGATCTTATGCTTTACTTCTTCGTAGCTTAGCTCTTGACTTAGGAAAGAAGGCATCTTCCCCGACATACGGCATCGACCACCATAGGCTTACCACACAGCACACGGCCCATATCTCTCCCTGCATTAATGTCCTAGCTCAGTTCATAAAATGCCAAAGCCCCGTTGATGTGATCCTTTTTAACTGGGTGGGCAGGTGGAACCAGCTATTTCTAGATTTCATGAATAAGCATGTCTGTCGCGACTATAAGGCGCTGCTAGCCTATATGAATAAGAACTTGCTCCTAAAGGAGGTATTTCAGGCAATAAAAGAGCTGCTAGATGACTACCCTATTTAACTAGATCCTTTAATTGTGCCCTTTTTACCTACAGCCGGACCCAGGAGATAAGACGAAGCATATATGAGGGTGTGTGGCAAGTTGTAGAGCCTGGGGTAGCACAGGTTCGGATACTCTGTCGGTCGAATCCAATATTAGCTTGATGAATCCGACTGATTAGTGGATCGGATCTCAGTTTATGTTGGGGTCATCGCAAATCATTTAGGATTGGAGTCTAGCCACATAAAGGTTTGGGTTACCTGCCCCGTTTGCGCTATTCCCTCATGGTAGCGACTACTTATTTACTTTGAAGACTTAAAACTGGTATTAGCTCTGCAACCCTAAAATAAGACTATATTGGGCCTCATCTGTGATATTGCTGCATAGGCCCGGGAACATCATTCTAGCTGTTTATCTACTGTCAACAGATAATGGCGGACCTTGCTGAGGGAAAAGTTCTTCTATGAAGGCTAATTAGTTGCTCTCTTTGTTTATGATTGACCTTAACGGCTTTTCCTGTGCTAAACAAACATGTGAGCGTTGTGGCATGTAGTTTGAGGCAGGAGTTGAAGGTGTTATAGACTTCTATTAGGATTTCCTTGCTGGATGCTTAACTCCTTGCAGCTCGAGTTCCCTAACTTGCCAGCAAGGGACTTAGTGGTGTAAGTTATATTACAGTGTTCCCAGTGAAATGGGTGTTAGACCAGAGGGGGTGGGTTTTGTCTGCAAGGGTTTATATTTGGTATAACATCTCTGTTCTCATCGAGCAGGAATTTATAAGACAGGTCATCCAGTGAACACAGTCAGAAACATGAAGAATATTCCAGGGGGTAAGTTATCACAGGAATGGGGCCCTGAATGCCTATTAATGCCTCAGTATGAACGTCTTGCCCAGAGGAGAAGCATTGAATATTATGACTCCTACCATGGCAGTGGAACTAACGAAGGAGTCGCAATCCCAAATGCTAGCAAGAGATATCAGATGAGCTGCCTCTAGGTGAAGTATATTTTTATTCTGCTTCTGGCTTCCTTCAGACTCATTGATCTAGGACTTCAAGCATTGGCCCTTATTTAATTCCGCCGATATATATCCTGTAACTGCGGTGACACTATTCAGGAGGCTTAGATTAATAACTATAGATATAACTCCTTTACGGCAGCATGGCTTCCTCCAGCATGCCGAAACAATCAGCTTCTTAAGCAGTTTGAGTGAGCCGGTCCTAATACTAACAGAAGCTGGCTATACTATGCAGATAGGAATAGCATAGAAGTCCTCTCCCTGGAATAAGTCTCCATACTTCCTGATTTGGGAGGCCATTTCTTTGTGACCCATCAGTGGCATCTAATTCATTGTGTGTATTACTGGAAGAAGATGTTTCTGGCCTCTGAGACTGGCACTATCATTAAGCATAGGTACAATAATCTAGCTCATATCAATCATTGTGAGATGATGTTTTTGGAAGAGGGTTCCATTAGATAAGATTATTATGGAGGTGGGAGTATCCCTTCATTCAGATAGGATTGTTATCGCGAAAAGCCACGCGCATGGTAATGACCATGAAGGACATCATTCATATTCAGATTTTGATGATGCTGGCCGGTCATGAAGCCCTCATCTGTATTTAGGCCCTATTACTATCTTACCATACGCGCTATTTAACGTAGAGCTCTGTAACCTGGCGGTCCTCTTCTGCTATCCACGACTATTATGGTTGCTATTCATTAGAACAGAGCTTTCAACTAGCTTTTTCTTTTTAAAAAAAAGTGGGAAAACAAATTGGGTGGGCAGGATGAAGTATAGCTGTTTTGTTCGACGAAACACTATCGATGGAATAGCTCTAGTGGAGGTAGGTAATCCGGACTGCCGTGAGGTAGAGACAGTTCCAAAAATATCCAAACCTTCCAATCCATTTTCAAGCAGAAGAGGATAATGACCACCCATTAGTCGGACTGATTGCAGAACCTACTCAAAACGTCCTCGTCGCTGTCGTCCACAAAATTTGAGACTAGAACCCACTCATTTAGATCTCATAAGTAGTAAAGCGGAGACAGATGCTTGCAAATGTCTCCTGCATTCCAGAATATAAAGGATTTTTAAAGGAACCGCTTCACATCCGTACTGCTGTTCTACGTTGGGTAATTATATATTTTTGACCTGCAAATCCTTGTATAATTGTATTTGGTGTTCCCGGGTCACATGATAGAATTTATCGTGCCATAAATCTGATATTTGCAAACCCTCAGACGCGGCCCCACTGGGCGGGCAGTTTCGGGCCGGACCGGAACTCTATGTTTTAAGGGCTACAGCAGGCCCAGCCGACCTATTTCCGATAGTGCCTCGGAGTTCAGACCTTGCAGCCATTGCGTAGATATCTCCTCAACTCGCTGAGTATTCTGGAACTCAGCAATGAGTTCTCCTTGCCTAGACAATATACAACTTTCATGCTCCCTTTACGCTGATCGTACCAGATTCGGGACCTTAGTCACCGATCTTCGCAAAGAAAAAAAAAGAAAGAGATTAAAGCAGCATTCCTTTGCCACTCAGCTCACTGGTATTTATTTGTTCTGCTGTGTCATGGGTGCCATACTGAAAAGGAAATTCCTTTCAACACTACATTCATATACACAGGTCGGGCTTTGTTAGAGACTGCAACATTATTACAAGTATATCAATTACTAGCATCCATATATAAAATATTAAAGGAATAAAGTCCCTCAGCTTCTTATCTAAGTAACTATTATAATATCTTATGTTCTCATGAATGAGGCTATATTGGAGCCCCAAATTCAGCAAAGGCTAAGAAAGTCGAAGAGAGATTCTAAGAAATTTTGCCAAAGTGTAAGGGGTTACATATTATGGGAATCCAAGCACCCCTTCATTTTATAAGGAACGCCACGCCTGGCCGCTGGAATGAGATACTCCCTACAGCAATAGGTTGAGGGTTCCCAGCACATTAATACTAGTGCGAACAGTGTCGGCCACATCTTTCTGCAAAGCCAGCGATTTTCTCCATATTAATCAGAGATGAAGGCCTCAGACTTCAATCATCCTCTATTACTAATGTAAACTGAGGACTTGTGAGTATTATCCTCTGTTTACTTTCGCCCCTTTCCGCATGGTCGCACAATACGCCGTACTGCCATCGCCACCCTGTCACCTTCTAGTATAAGAACCATCCTTGCCATTTGATCCTGCTCTTGACGTAACACATCTCGAATGCCTACGTCGACGCATTATTCAAATAACCCTCCGGCACCATGTAGCTTGAGCCAAGCCATAGCATTCTGATCCTGCAGCAACTAGTTATTCCCGGGGGTCTCTTGTCTTCTACCGCGGGGTCAGCTGCATCAGGAGGGATGTACTGAGTGCCCCCTGGAGAAGACAGGCGCAAATAATCGTTGGCTTCTATAACGCTCTAGATGGCAGCAGGGATGGGGCCGCATATATTGCCATTATACTTTGTCATTCTGGATGATCAGGACGTCACTAGTATGGTCTTTGTTTTTGTTGTTAGCTGATTCTGCAAGTGTGGCCATACGGCTGATGCTAACTATGCAGTCCCTACGGACTAGTTCAGATCATGATTAGAAGGAATAAACATACAATATCCCAAAGAGGTAAGCTTGCCACCATAGTATTTCCCCTAGTTTCTGCTAATTTAAAGCCTAGTCTTTGAGAATTACCTTGAGGAGTTATAGGAGTTATTTTAAGTGCTTTTTATCCCCTGCCTTTATATATGTTTTGTCTGTTTTTCAGGGATTTCCTTACGCAGCAATGCAAATGCAAAGGCTTAACTTCTTGTTATAAGATCTTAAGGGCAGACTCAGGGCACTGATTAACTATACTATAGTTATCAGATTAATCAATTGTGTTAGTATTAATGAAGCAAGCCCCAGTTCGCATCTACATTAGTCCTAAAATGGTGCTACACATCTTTGGTGGCAAGGGCGTCCTAGCCGGATGGTTTAATGTATGTGATGAGCCAGATTATACAATTGGCATATCAGATTCTAGATATATAAACGATCCCCTTGCCTTCCAATGGATTCAGCATTTGATCATTATATAAAGTGTTGGATGCTAGGTGTAAAACGCCTACTTCTCTGCGATGGATATGGATCCCATATGACCTATGAGTTTATCAATTTCTGTGAGAAAAATGATATTATCTTATACTTCCTTCCTCCGCATACAAGCCATCTTCTCCAGCCGCTAGATGTTGGTGTATTCCAGGCCTATAAGCACTGGCATAGCGTGGCTATTGAGGATGCTACACAGACAGGTTGTGGAAAGTTTATAAAGGTGGAATTCTTATCCGCTCTCTTTGAGATACGCCACAAGACTTTTAAATCACGTACTTTAAGGCATGCTTTTAGCCTGACTGGCTTGAATCCCTGGAATCCATCTGTCGCCCTTGAAAGGCTACAGGATAGTGAGCTCTTTGCTAATGAGGAGATAAATAATTCTACTTTTTCAGCT